CTCCCCCTTCTCCTCCTCCCTTCTCCCTCCCACCTCCCACTCTCTACTCCTTGCCCACCCGCAGATCAAGGCGTGCGACGACATCCTGGTGGGGATGGAGGGCATGCTGGGGCGCTTCCAGTCCGACCTGGGCAGCATCTCCACGGAGATCCGCAGCCTGCAGGAGCAGAGCTCCTCCATGAGCGTGCGACTCAAGAACCGGCGCGTGGTGCAGGAGCGGCTGGGCGACTTCATCCAGCACGTGGGCATCCCGCCGCCGCTCATCTTTGGCATCGTGCAGGTGGGTTGGCGGGGTGGGTGGATTCAGGTGGGTGTGGATTTTTTGGGATTTTGGTGGTGGCGGCGGCTTGGTTGCCGGTGGTGGCGGTGTCGCGATGTTTGAATGCTGGTGGCGGCGGTGTTGTGCGAGAGCGCGTGTGCTGTAGCAGTGGCGGCGGTGGTGACCAGGTTGTGCGCTGGCTGGCTGGGAGGGCGCCGCGCTCGGCAGCTGCCGCCGCAGCTGGAGCGGTTACCCCTTGCTCGCCTGCATTGTGGGTGTGCCCCAGCCCTGCCATCTCAGCTCCCGCCACCTGCACCCCTGGCCCGGCGCAGGGAGAGATTGGGGAGGAGTTCCTGAGGCACCTGGAGGCGCTGGCGGGCAAGCTGGAGTATGTGGCCAAGGACGACACAGCCCGCTTCTCGGCGGCATACAGGCGAGCAGGCTGCGGGGCGCTGCGCTGCGCTGAGAGGGGTGCCGCGGCGCCGCGCTGCGCTGAGAGGGGTGCCACCGCGCCGTGCTGCCTTGGCTTCGCGGCATCCAGCTCAGCCCCAGCCGCCGGCTGGGCTGCAGCCCCCTTGGCGTGTGCTGGTGCTGCTACCCGCGCCTCGGCTCCGCAGCGGTGTCCTGCAGCCCTGTCTTGCCCTGACCCCACACTGATACAATTTATACAGGCGCCTGCCGATCAATGCGCATCCTCCCAACCACCTCTCCCTCTCATGTGCCTCACCAAGCCCTGTGCCCCCACCTCCGCTGGGCCACCTCCTCCTGTGCCCCCCACGTCCCCTGCAGGGACGTGGCGCCCGAACTGGAGCGGCTCAAGGTCAAGGCGGTGGCGCGCTGCCGGGACTTCCTGATGGATCGCATCTACGACATGCGGCGCCCCAAGACCAACCTGCCGGTGGGGCGGGGTCGGGGACGGGGGCGGGGTTGGAGATGGGGGCATGGTTATTGAGTGTGGCCGCTGGCGTGGGGCTGGCTGTGCTGCTTGTTGCTGTGTTGCTGGAGCGTCGTGCGCTGAGCATCGGGCGCTGAGCACCGTTGTTTGAGCAACCATACTTAGTATCTTGCAGCACGCCCTGCCCCATGCATGGGCCCGTTCTGTTCTGATCGAGCGCCGTGTAGTGGAACATTGGCTCTTTTGCCGTCATTTCGTGCCGCTGCAACTGCGGTTCCGTGCTGCTGCAACGCTACGGCCGCCGCCGCCGCCGATGCCGTCGCTGTGGCTCTGCTGCCGCAGGTCAAGCAGAGCGTACTGCTGAAGTACCGCTACATGGCCTCCTTCCTCAAGCAGCACGCGCCAGACATTTATGCAGAGGTGGGCGGGGTGTGGGTGGGCTGGCTGGTGCCTGGGTGGGTGGGTGGGTGGGGGAGGAACGTAGGGGTGGCTGGGTGGGAAGGTGTGGCCAAGTCTGCCGCCCTCGCCGCTCACGTGCCGCCTGCCTGCCTGCTGTATCACCTGCCCGCCCGCCTGCCTGCTCACCTGCCTGCCTGCCTGCCTGGTCACCTGCCCGCCTGCCTTGCTGGTGAGTTTGTTGGGGCCCTGCAGGTGCGGGGCGCGTATGTGGACAAGGTGGGGCAGACGATGCTGGACCTGTTCCGAGCATACTGGGCGGCCATGGAGCGGCTGGAGGTGGGCTGAAGGGCGGCGGCGGGGTAGTGGGGGTGCAGGTGGTGGTGTGTGCGCCGCGGTGGTGGTGGCTTGCGTGGCGGGGTGATGCCGAGGCAGGTGGGCAGGCTCCCTGCAGAAGGGGAGGCAGGCAGGCGCCCTGCAGGCGCTGCCCTGACGCGCACCGAATACCTTGCCGCCTCATCGGCCCTCACCAAACCCCACGCCTGCTGGTGTGCTGTGCCGCTGCCCTGCAGGAGGTAGTGATCACAGCAGCAGATGCGCTGGGCGCCCCGGAGGCTGCCAGCGGTGCTGGCCTGTCGCTCGGCGCCTTCTTCCAGCGCCAGCCGACCCACCCCGCGGCCTCCTCGGGCCTCAGCGGCCACCGTGCGGACGTGTATGCGCTGAGGGACAGGGCGGGGGTGCTGGCGCAGCTGGGGGCGCCGCCGCTGGTGCTGCACGTGGCGGAGGCGGAGCACACGAGATTCCCTTTCGAGGCAAGCAGTTGCCGCTGGCAAGCTGGACTTTCAGATATGCAGCTGCAGCAGCTGCAGCAGCTGCCCTGTGGCGGCACAGCCGCCGCTGGTGCCGTCCTCTTGCGCTGCCCCTGCTTCTGTCGTTGCACTAGCCTGCGCCGCCGCTGCCTCCTTCCTCCTGGCTCGTGCCGCTGCTGCTGCTACCTCCGCCGCTGCTGCCGCTTCTGCTGAGCGGCTGCTGCCCCTTTCTGCCCGCCCTGGCCTGCAGGTGCTCTTCCGATCGCTGCACCGGCTTCTAATGGACACAGCGGCACATGAGTATCTCTTCTGCCTGGACATGTGGGGGCAAGAGGCGGCATACAGGTAGGTAGGGGTTGGTGGTGGCGGGTGGCGGTGGCCTGTGCGTGTAGCGTGCAGATGTGCGCCTGGGTGGCGTCAAGGCCGTGGGTGCGGCTCAGGCAGGCCGGGCCTGCGCGGGGACTGCGCTTGGGTGGCAGCAGTGAGGGGAGGAGCGTGCGCCATGCCTCGAAGGACACTTTTCTGATTACCTGCTTCGCGCTGCCCTTCCCTCTGCGCCGCAGGGACCTCTTCAGCCCCACACTTTCCTTCATCGAGACCTCGCTGACCGCGGCCCTGCAGGCGCGCATGCCCCGCCCACCCCCGCCAGCCCTGCATGCCGCCGGCAGCACCGCTGGCCCTGCACGCTCTGCGCTGCCGCCGCCGCCGCTGCTGCTCGGCGGTTGGCGCTGCGCAGTCTCCACACGCCCACACTGCGCCTGCCGCCAAAGCTGCTGCCCAGTGCCGTGCCACCACGTCCCCACAGTCTGCCTGCTTGCATGCGTTCGTGTCCGAGACGCGTCCAGCCAGGCCCCCACCTCCAACGCTCATCCGCATCGGCTGCACCTGCCCCCCTTGCCGCCCGCCTTGTTCTTCCTTCCTCATGGCCGCCCGCTGCTCCTTTCACATCGCATCGTTTCCCCCCTGTCACTTGCACCATACCCTACCAGGCCTTGGAGGACTGCTGCTCCCTCCGCCTGCCCTCCCTGTCGCCCACCGTGTTCTTCCTTCCTCATGCTCCGCCCGCCTGCTTCTTTCACATCGAAGCCTCTCCCCCCTGTCACTCGGCACCACCCCCTACCAGGCTGCTCCTTCCTTTGTTCTGTACACCAAGCCCTGCTGCTGCTACCTCTGCCTGCCCCCCCTGCCCCCCACCGTGTTCTTCCTTCCTCACGCTCCGCGCGCTGCTCCCTCCCTCCGCCTGGCCGCAGGAGCTGGCAGACCCGCTGGCCATCATGCTGATGATCCGCATCAACCGCGAGAACAGCCTGGCCATGAGCCGGCGGCGGCTGCCCGCGCTGGACGGATACTTTGACCGCATCAACCTGGCGCTGTGGCCGCGCCTCAAGGTGGGGCGGGGCTGGCGGGCAGCTGGCGGGGCTCAGAGGAGGTTGGAGGTTTCGTTGAGGCCTCCGGTCGGCTTCTGGGGCGCCGCTCTGATGGCTGCCTGCGGCTGGCAGCATGGGCGCGGCGGGAGGGTGCCGGACGCGGTTGCGGCCGCCCGGCTGCCGCGGCGACGCCTCGAGGCGGCAGAGCCGCATGGCGCGTGCAGGCGGCGCGATGAGCAGCCCTCCATCCACCCGCACTGGGGCCCCGCCGCCCTGCCACCCTGCCCCGCCAACGCCCCTGCCCTGCCAGCCCTGACGAGCACCGCCCGCGTGCGCGCGCGGCCCCACGCCTGCAGGCGCTGTTTGACCTGCAGCTGGCAAGCATCAAGGCGCTGCA